TGGGCACAGTGGTTCACATCTGTAATCCTAGCGCTTTGGGAGGCCAAGACGGTAGGATTGTTTGAGGCCAGGAGTTCAGGACCAGTCTCAGCAAGACAGTGAGACCCCTGTTTCTATAAAAAATCATTTAAAAAAATTAGCCAAGCATGGTGGTGCTTGCCTGTAGTCCCAGCTATTTGGGAGGCTGAGGTGAGAGGATCACTTAGGCCAAGGAGTTCAAGGCTACAGTGAGCTATGATTGCAACACTGCACTCCAGCCTGAAAGAGACCCTGTCTGAAAAAAAACAAATTAGCTCCCAGGTATTGAGGGCCTATAGTGTGTCTGATATTGTGGTAAGTTCTTTACATTCATGGTCTCATTTAACTCTTATGGGTTTATGAAGCAGCCATCGTTATCACGTGTACTTAACAGAAAGAAAATAAAACACAAAGGGGTAAGGCATGGTTGAATTTAACTTTCTCATTGAAGCTTCTCATCAGATTCCTGAATGCCAAAACCAAGACAGAAGCACAGTTGTGGATGGCGCACCCCAGCAATGACCGTCCTAGGGGTACACTAGAGAGAAATTCTTGCATATATATGCAAAGAGGCAGGTGTAAGGATTTTCACAGAAGCAATGCTTGGAATAGCTCCAAGCTGGAAACCACAAATAAAAGAGTGGCTGTCTAGGCCAGGCGCGATGGCTCACACCTATAATCCCAGCCCTTTGGGAGGCCAAGGTGGGTGGATCACTTGAGGCAAGGAGTTCAAGACCAGCCTGGCCGACATGATGAAACACTGTCTCTACTAAAAATAAAAAAATTAGTTGGGCATGGTGGCAGGCACCTGTAGTCTCAGCTACTCAAGAGGCTGAGGCAGGAGAATCACTTGAACCTAGGAGGTGAACATTGCAGTGAGCTGAGTTAATGCCCCTAAACTCCAGCCTGGGCTACAGAGCAAGACTCTGTCTTAGACAAACAAAAAAATAATGGATGTCTAAAATAGGGTAGACCACATGGTGGAAGGGTAGCTGTCCAGCAATAAAATAAGAGTGCCACGTGCATCCACCTGCCTGCATACAAGCAGAAAGGGGTAATCTCTTTCCTCCTCGTTGTTAAAAGTAAAACTTAAAATGAATTAAATCTAACAGTTTAACTGAGCAAATAACAATCTGTGAATCAGGCAGCCTCAAACCAGACTGGCTCTGGCATAGCCACGTGGTTGAACAAGATTTATGGAAACAGATTTATGGACAGAATAAGGAAAGTGATGCACAGAAAACGGAAGCGAGGCACAGAAACAGCTGACATTCGCCTTATTTGAACATGGTTTGAACAGCTGGCCTCCTCTGATTGGCTGAAACTCAGTGATTGGCACAAAAGTAGGTTACTGTCTGTTTACAAGTCAAATTAGGTTACAGTGTACAGAAAAACTTTTAGGGTGAACTTAAAATATAGAAAGAGGCAGCTTTAGGCTAAAACGTTATGGCCAACATCCCTATAATAAAAGACAGGTTAACAAAAGAAAAGCATAACAAATGTATCGCCTGCACACCTGTGCACAGGAGCCATATAAAATATGAAAACTCACAGAAAGGGCCAGCTGGTTGAAGTCTTTATAACATTTGAGGTAACAGAAAGAACAGAGGCTTAGAGGGTGGGTATCGAGACAAGTTAGGGAGGGAGAGAGAGGAAAGGTCTAGCTGGAAAGGTCAAATGCGATGCAGATGAAACCCCGCATGTAGCAAGCAGCTCTCAGAATGAACAGATGGTAGCCTGTGGTACAAGTTTCTCTGTGAGGCCGGGCATGATGCTCAGGCCTGTAATCCCAGCACTTTGGGAGATCAAGGCAGGTGGATCACTTGAGGTCAGGGGTTGGAGATCAGCCTGGCCAACATACCCTGTTTCTACTAAAAATACAAAAATTAGTCAGGCTTGATGGTGGGAGCCTGTAATCCCAGCTACTCAGGAGGTTGAGGCAGGATAATTGCCTGAACTTGGGAGGTGGAGGCTGCGGTGAGCTGAGATTGCACCACTGCACTCCAGCCCGGGCGACACAGCAAGACTCCATCTCAAAACAAAAAAAAGTTTCTCTGTAAGACCTTCAAAAGGTATCAGACTCCCAATCTCTCTCTCCTGTGAGTTAATCTTCTCTAGCTCAGGACAAGGTGGGGTGGGGATGGTTAGAGAAAACCTGGCCCTCTATTTCACTAATGTTGACGTTCTCTGTAGATGTAAACCTCCACAAAATGTACAACCAGGGCTTCGGCTCTATCTGAAATACTTTCTTTCCTTTCCTTTTTTTTTTTTTTTTTTTTTTTTTAAGACTAGGTGTTGCTCTGTTGCTCAGGCTGGAGTGCAGTGGCACGATCACAGCTCACTACAGCCTGACCTCCCAGGAGGTCAGGGAGGTCAGCTTCCTGAGGAGTTGGGACTACAGGCACACACCACCACCACACCTGGCTGATTTTTGTACATTTGTAGAGACATGGTCCCACCATGTTGCCCAAGCTGGTCTTGAATTCCTGGACTCAAGTGATCTGCCCACCTTGGTCTCCCACAGTGCTGGGATTACAGGCGTGAGCCACTGTGCCCAGCCTGAAATGCCTTATTTCTTAAAACAAGTCTGAAGCAAATGGACCAAAATGTTCAGATGGATTAAAGCTGAGGGATGTGTACACAAGAGTTTGTTAATATGGGTTCTCATATCTTTATGTGTGTTTGAAATACTTCATAGCATAATATTTTATTTTATTTATTTTTGACACTGGGTCTTACACTGTCACTCAGGCCGGAGGGCAGTGGCACAAACAGCTCACTGTAGCTTCAACCTCCTGGGCTCAAGCAATCCTCCTGCCTCAGCCTTCCATGTAGCTGGGACTTCAAGTGCACACCACCTTGCCTGGCTAATGTTTAAAATTTTTTGTAGAGATGGGGGTCTCACTATGTTGTCCAGGCTGGTCTTGAACTCCAGGGCTCAACTCATCCATCTGCCTCAGCCTTACAAAGTGTTGGGATTATAGTAGTGAGCCACCACGCCCACCCTAACAATATATATTTGATGGAGTATCGCTCTGTCACCCAGGCTGGAGTGGAGTGGCACGATCTCGGCTCACTGCAACCTCCACCTCCCAGTTCAAGCAATTGTTCCACCTCAGCCTCCCAAATATCTGGGACTACAGGTGTGCCCCACCACCCCTGGCTAACTTTTAGTATTTTAGTAGAGAAGCGGTTTCACCGTGTTAGCCAGAATGGTCTTGATCTCCCGACCTTGTGATCTGCCCACCTCGTCCTCCCAAAGTGCTGGGATTACAGGCGTGAGCCACCGCACCCAGTCCTAACATATTTTAAGGCAACCACAATAAAGATACCTTAACTTCAATCTGTCCAAAGCCATTTAGCTGTGAGGGCCAAGACCGATAATTCTGGTGGTTGACAGGGTGCTCTTCATGTTACCTCCTAAACACTGTTCCTCCTAAGAGCCTGATTTACTTGATTACAAACCCCAACAATGATGGCACTGTGGAGGTGGCCCAAGAACTTCAACAGAATGACATGGCCTCAGATGCTCCTGAGAAACGAACACAGCACCCCGCCCTTGATGACTATCCTCCCATTAAGACCTCCCACTACATTTTCTGACAACCAACCGACCAACCAACCACAACATTCCTGGGTCCTCCTCCCCTAAATCAATGACAACTCAAACAAACAAAAAGTCCCCAGGCCTCTCCCATGGACTTGGGAGGCCTCTCCCACTACGGCTCCTTTCCCTCACCTGCACCTGAGTCTCCTTCCCGGGCTGGTGACCTGAGGTAATGCTCCTTAGCGCCTCCTACAAGTGACCGCTTTTGTATTTACCCTCCTACTGTGCCTCTATCACCCATGGGATATAGTCACTTCCCAGAATCTCCAAAAGTCCTTTTTATGTTAAATCAGTTCACGCTATCTCTCTACTCTCTACCCTCCCATGATTTCCCATTACTTCATAATAAAACCCCATATGGGCCTATCTCCCACCTCCCCCTCCCACCTTAATCACTTTGCTCCAGCCCCCAGCACCCCATTCCAGCCTCCTGGAGGGCTCTTCAAACAGGCCATGCCCCTCTGTCTGCATGACTCACTTCCTTCTTCCCTTGCTCCCTCATTTCCTCTGTGGCAACCTCACCTCCTCCAGGAGGCCTTGCCAGTCTGATCATCCAACCTAATCTTGCTTTATTTGTTGTTATAGCCAGAAACCCTTGCCCATTATGAAAAACCTTACTCCCTATACAGAACACCCTTCATCACTCATTCGCAGGGTAGCGTCAGGGATGGAGCCTGGATGTCCCTCCAGCACTGGTGATTTGATGAGAATATCCCTCAGGACATCCAATGATCATAGATTCCCCTTGTGGCTTACTCTCAGATCACCCTTCTTACTAATTCCTAACAGAACATCGGGGGAGGCTGAGGTGGGTGGATCACCTGAGGTCAGGAGTTCGAGACAAGCCTGGCAACATCACGAAACCCCATCACTACTAAAATTACAAAAAAGTAGCCAGGCATGGTGGTGCCCGCCTGGAGCTACTGAGGAGTCTGAGGCAGAAAAATCGCTTTAATCCAAGAGGCGGAGGTTTCAGTGAGCTGAGATCACGCCACTACACTCCAGCCTGGGTGACAGAGCAAGACTCCATCTCAAAAAATAAATAAATAAATAAAAATGAAAAATTGTGTCTCATTAACAGACCACCTCGTTATTTCTTATAAATCCAATCGTCTGCACAATTGTTTGCCCTGAGTATATTTTTGCATAATTCATTCAATGTAAACATTTACAACACGGCACAATTTTTTAAACAAATTTCATTTTGGCATCTGTTCATTTCTCAATATTTTATACTTAGCATGCAGTTTCTCAATGAAACCTCCCAAGACCTTACTGGACTTCAGAGAAACCTTGTCCAGCTGCCTTCCCAAGAAGACCCTGCCTAGAAATAAAACTTCCTCTCCTTGAGGCCCAAATTCACAGTTCTTACTACCTGTGGATATGGCAATTTTCAGCTCCAACTCAATTTCCAATTAAACACCGACTCCTCCTCTGGCCCTGTTAGCTCCATGGTGTGGGCAGGATCCCAAATTTCAGCATCTGCATCCAACACTCTTCTCAGCCGGAACACCTCAGCCCCAACTTCTGCTTCCCTCTGACCTCGCGCACTTCCGGTCGGAGCTAACGTGCGCATGCGTCCGGGCTCTGGACGTGCTCTTTTTACCATCCACTTCCTGCCAAAATGCTCCCCGAGGCACCTCAGCCCCTGGGACGCATTGCTGGCCTTTTCTCACACCTGTTTGGTTGAGTCACTGCACTGATAGGCACCTCGAGGCCTCATCGGAGGATAACCCCCCTTTCTCTGGGCGCAGGCCCTGAAGGACTTATCACACAAAGACATCACAAAACCCCATCAGTTACAGAAAAGGCGGGAAAGTCGAAATGCAGTGTTGGAGGCATTGAGGCTGTCTTGAAGTGCGACCCCTTGAGTCCCCAGACAGCAAGGCAGCCGCTGAGCTTCTCAGAACCCAGAAAAGTATAGAGGATCTCACACGGACACACACCCCCCAATCTATCCATCTGTCATCTACTCATATCGTTATTAACTAATTACATGATGGGATGATAATCCTCTGAACATGTTTAAAAAATATTAATTTAATCTGTTTCTTTTCACTTCTTTTAATTTGATGATTAGACAAAGATTTTTAAATGGTACCTGTAGCTACTCAGGACGCTGAGGCAGGAGAATCGCTTGAATCCAAGAGGCTTGGATTTTTAAAAAAGAATAGCTTTCATTATATTTCTTTCTTTTAATTCTTTAAAATTATTTTTATTTTTATTTTGAGACAGAGTTTCTCTCTTGTAGCCCAGGCTGGACTGCAATGGTGCGATCTCGGCTTGCTGCAACCTCTGCCTCCTGGGTTCAAGCAGTTCTCCTGTCTCAGCCTCCTGAGCAGCTAGGATTACAGGCATCCGCCACCATGCCCAGCTAATGTTTGTATTTTTAGTAAAGATGGGGTTTCACCATGTTGATCAGGGTGGTTTTGGAACTCCTGACTTGAGATGATCCACCACCTTGGCCTCCCAAAGTGCTGGGATTACAGGCATTAGCCACTGCCCCTGATCCCTTTCTTTTAATTTTTGTAGAGACAGGGTCTTGCTATGTTGTCCAGGCTGATCTTGAACTGGTGGCCTCAAGAGTCATTCATGCCTCAGCCTCCCAAATTGTTGAAATTACAGGCATGAGCCACTGTGCCTGGTCTTGGCTTACATTGTATATCTATTGGACAATGCTGGAGCTGATAAAAGGATTTATTGCAAAGCTCTTAATCCAGTGACTGGCTCAAAATAAGTATCTGATGAATTCTCTAAACATATTTTTACAGATTGCTTCCCGGTGAAAAGGTTTCTGACCCGTGGAGCTCAGTGTTAACTTGGGAGACATACAACAGATGAGTGAACACACAAAGTACTTTCAGATCATTATAAGTAAGTACTGTAAAGGAAAAAAACGGCAGGGATTGGCAACATTTAATTAAGGTGACCGAGAGGGCCCCTCTGAGCTGGTGGCCTTTGAACTGAGCCCTGAATGTTTGACAAAAGGAACAGGCTCTGAATGGCTTGGGCGGGGATCCAAGGCCATGGGAATAACCCCTGCAAAAGCTCTAAGGCCGCAGTGAGACTTCTACGATTGAGGGAGGGAGAGAGGTCCTGTGCTTGGGAAAAGGGTAGTAGGAAATGTACCTGCAGAGGTCAAGGTGTGGTGGATGGCAGGTCACGGGGGCCTTCTAGGCCGTGGTCACTGGTATCTGAAGCGTGACAGGAAACTTTTGCAGTTGTCTCCACCCAGTTCTCGGTAGACTTAAGTGCTAAGAATCTAAGGCATCCATTGCATGCAATGAATTAAGTCACCTCCTACTGTAGTAAGTAATGGTATTAGCCAGTAGCATCCTTCGGGAAAATCAAGAAAACAATCACTCAAGCCATTCTCTGTGGGGCTTGATTGTCTCCCAAAACCCTAAGAAAGGTTTCAGGAGAGATATTTAGCACAAGAGTTGAAAAAAATCACTCTGAATGCAATGTAGAGAGTGGATGGGTGGGGGCAAAAGGCAGGAATGGAGGGAGGGAGTTCAGTGGGAAGTTCTTCATATTGGCCTGGAAGAGAGATGGTGGTGGCTTCCGCGGGGCCTGCAGTAGTCAGATAGTGAGAAGTGAACATGTATATATATATTTTAAGATGGAGTTTCGCTCTTGTTGCCCAGGCTGGAGTGCAATGGCTCAATCTTGGCTCACTGTAACCTCTGCCTCCTGGGTTCAAGTGAATCCCCTGCCTCAGCCTCCTGAGTAGCTGGGATTACAGGCATGCACCACCATGTCTGGCTAATTTTTTTTTTTTTTTTTTTTTTTTAGTAGAGACGGTGTTTCTCCATGTTGGTCAGGTTGGTCTCAAACTCCTGACCACAGGTGATCTGCCCACCTCTGCCTCCCAAAATCCTGAGTTTACAGGCGTGAGCCACTGCATCCAGCTGTGAACATGTATTTTGAAAACTGGAGTCAACTAGAACCAATGGATTAGATACGGAGGAAAAAGAAGGAGAAGGAGGAGTCAAGATGGCTGCTGCGATTTTGGTCTGAGCCACTGGATGGATGGTGGTGATTTGGGTTCTAGTCCCAATTCTCCAGGATGACCCTGGGCAAACAAGTGACTTCTCTCTGCTGAAGCTCAGTTTCCTCATCTGTGAAACGGGGATTGCCAAGGAGGTGTGATGAGATTATACGTGAAATGCACAGGTCTGGCACATGGCAAGCATGTAAACTGCTATTATTATCATTTCCATCATTCCTGCGCCACAAACATGCTGATGTAGCCACATGCATAGCCTCAGAAACCAGTCAGGCCTGAGTTGAGTTCCTAAGTTGTGATGTGACCTTTAGGGAGGTCACTTCACATTCCTGAGCCTCAGAGTCCTCCTCTGTGAAGGGAGTTAATGAAAATACCCTCCCTCCAGACCCAGTTGTGAGGATTCAGTCTGCGATATGAAGTACTTAGCCTTCAGTGTAGCACACAGTATTTGCTCAGTTAACAGGGCCTAAATGTTAGAACAATTTGAGTTTTCTTCTCAGTATACGTTTGGTAAGCAGTATTAATGAAAAGAGTCAAACTCTGTAAAATATTTTGAAGAGGTTTATTATGAGTGACCATGGCTCGTGACATAGCCCAAGGGAGGTCCTGAGAACATGTTCTCAAGGTGGTCAGGGTGCAGCTTGGTTTAGGGAGGCATGAAACATCAATCAAATACATTGAAGAAATAAATTGGTTTGGTCCAGAAAGATGGGATAACTCAAAGTGAGACGGGCTTCCAGGCTATAGGTAAATTTAAATATTTTCTAATTGACAATTGGCTGAGTTTGTCTAAAGACCTGGGATTGATAGAAAGGAAATGTTCAGGTTAAGATAAAGATTGTGGAGACCAGGGTCTTTTGAAGTCTTATTGTGGCTGTCCTTAGAGACAACAGATGGCAAATGTTTCCCATTCAGATCTTTAAGAGGTGCGAGACTCTTAGTTAATCTCTTTAGGATTGGGAGGGCTGGAAGAAAAAGATCTAGCTATGTTAATAGAGATTTTTTACAGATGCACATTTCCCCCACAAAGGACAGCTTTGCAGGGCCATTTCAAAATATGGCAAAGAAACACGTTTTGGGGTAAAATATTTTGACTTTCTTCTTTGTCAAGTAATATTATGCCAGAGTAATATTGGAAAGTAAGTCACGATATATAGAGTTAAATAAAACCCATTTGATGAGAATTTATGGTTTGTAAGGCATGGTTCCCTGGGCCCCTTAGACAGGAATTTGGGCAGGATAAAAAAAATCAGAGCTTAGTCCTCAGCAGAATCAACTTAAAACAATACTTTATATGTTTATTATGAAATAATATATGCTCATGGGGAAAATGTAAACAGTATAGAATTATGTAAAGTAGAAAATGAGGCTGGGTGCAGTGGCTCATGCCTGTAATCCCAGCATTTTGGGAGCCTGAGGTGAAACAATTGCTTGAGGACAAGAGTTCTAGGCTACAGTGAGCTGTGATTGTGCCACTGCACTTCAGACTGATTTTTAGTGATAGCCTCACTCTGTCACTAACAAACCATTTTTTTTTTTGAGGCCGAGTCTCTCTCTGTTGCCCAGGTTGGAGTGCAATGGTGCATTCTCGGCTCATCACAGCCTCTGCTTCCCAGGTTCTAGCAATTTTGTCCTGCCTCAGCCTCCCGAGAAGCTGGGACTACAGGCACGTGCCACCATGTCCGGCTAATTTTTGTATTTTTAGTAGAGACGGGGTTTCACTATGTTGGCCAGGCTGGTCTTGAACTCCTGACCTCGAATGATCCGCCCACCTCGGCATCCCAAAGTGCTGGAATTACAGGTATGAGCCACCGTGCCCAGCTAACAAACAAAATTTTAAGTGAAAAAAAAAAAAGAAAGAAAATGGACCTACCTCCCTCCTCCCAATTTCCTATCAACCACTGTTGACTATCAATCAAATCGTCTGAGAATTTCACGTACATATGCGCACACCCACGCATTCCTAGCAGAAGCTCAGAATTCAGACTTCAGAGTCATACAGATTCAGCTTCTAATCCTGCCCTGCCACTTATTTGCTGTGAGATACAGGACAAGTTATTCCATAGTCACTCTAAGTCTCTGTTCCTTTTTTTTTTGGAGACAGGGTCTCACTCTGTCACCCAGGCTGGAGTGCAGTGACGCGATCTCGACTTGCTGTAACCTCCATCCTCCCACCTTAGCCTTCTGAGTAGCTGGGGCCGCAGGTACATGCCACCATGCCTGGCTTATTTTTTGTATATTTTGTTGAGACAGGGTTTCTTCATGTTGCCCAAGCTGGTCTTGAACTCCTGGATTCGAGTGATCCTCCCAAAGTGTTGGGATTACAGGTGTGAGCCATGCTCACATGCGATTGGCCAGTCTCCCTTTCTGTAAAAAGAAAAGTCATGGCAATAGCTATGTCATTGTGCTTTGGTAAGAATGTATCGAATGGTGCCTGCAGAGAGATAGCTCCGCGCTCACATGTATGAAGGTCTCAAAAACACTCAGCTGCTATTATTATGTATATATAGTCATGCACCACATAAGATCATTCTGGTCATTGACAGACTGTGTATACATATGATGGTGGTCCCACATGATTAGAATGAAGCTGAAAAAACCCTATCACCTAGTGACATTGTAGCTGCTGTAACATCGTAGCACAACGCGTTACCTTTTCTATGTTGAGATACGCTAGTACTGTTTGCTCCAGTTGCCTGCAGTATTCAGTACAGTACCATGGTTTGTAGCGTGGGAG